ATAGAGTTTAATGGATATGCTCTTTCAGCAATTATGGAGACATGGTTATAAAGAGATCAAAGGTTAAAAATGAAATATTCAGGGGTTTGTGTCTATTTGAAAGGACAGTAAGGAAGGGAAGGGTAGGGAGTAGCTTTGTTAGTCTGAGGTGGAATAAGTATGATGGGAAGAAATGATGTAGAATCCATATGGATGGTGGTCAGAAATAACAAGTGGAAGAAGACACTGGTGGGAGTAGTCTACAGGTTTCCTAACTGTAGCTGTCCTGTAGGACACAGAATAGTTTGGAAGATAATGGGGTCTTGTAAAAAAAGACATTAATTATAACTGTCTTTAATTGTCATGTTGGTTAGGAAAATCAAATTGGCAAAGAAGGAAGAACTCAATGTATTTGGTACAGGTTCTTTGAACAATACATTGTGGATCCAACCAGGGATCCATCTATTTTGCATCTGGTAATGTGTATTTAAGTAGGTTTAATAAATTGTCTCTGAGTAAAAGATTTCCTTGAAACAGTAACCATAACATGGTAGAATTTAGCATTAAGTTTGAGAGTGAGAAACTTTATTTGGTAACAACTGTGCTAAATTTAAATAAGGGGTATTACATAGGGATAAGAGCAGAGTTGGCTGGAGTGGACTGGGAAAGGCATTTAGGAGAAAAGACAATGGCAGAAATTTAAGAAAATTATTCATAATTCACAGCAAAGATATATCCCGAACAGGAAGAAGGACTCAAGGAAGACGATAGAACTGTTAAGGATCATATTGAATTGAAAGAAAAACATACAACATGGCAATGAATACTAGTAAACCAAAGGATGAAGGAAGTTTTAAAAGCCAACCAAAAGGCAACCAAAAAAGAATAAAGAAGGAAACAATAAATTATGAAGGAAAACTAGCAAGTAATTATAAAAAAGATAGTATGAGCTACCTCAAATATATAAAAAGGAGGTGAAAGGCTAAAGTGAACATAGGACCATTAGAGAACGAAGCTTGGGAAATAATAATGGGAATCCAGGAAATGTCAGAGGGTTGAATGAATGCTCAGCATTTGTCTTAATGGTAAAGGATGTTAACAACATTCCTAAAGTCAAGGGGCTAAAGTGGGGGAAGAAATAAAAACAATAACTATCACTAGAGAAAAAGTACGAGGGAAATTAATTTGGCTAGAGGCTGATAATCCCTCTGCACCTGATAGGTTGTATTCTAGGATTTTAAAGGAATTAGCTGCAGAGATAGTGAGTGCTGGTAATAATCTTGCAAGAATCTTCAGATTCTGGAGGAGTCTCAGACAATTAGAAAACAGATAATTTACACCTTTTGTTCAAAAGGGAGGGAGACAAAAACAAGACAAAAATAGGCCAGTTAGCTTAACATCTCACATTGAGAGGATATTGGCATCAATTATAAAGTCTGCAAACACACAGAATTTAGAAATATGTAATATAATCAAGCAAAATCAATTATCCTTCCCAAAAGTGGAAATCATTCCTGACAAATTTATTACACTTCTTTGAGGAAGTAACAAGTAAGGTAGGTAAAGGGGAAGCAGTGGATATAATATATTTGGATTTTGAACAGGCTTTCAACAATGTATTACACATACAGCTACTTGATAAATAACAGCGCATGGTGTTGGGCGTATTGTATTAGCATCGATAGAAGATTGGCTAACTAATAGAAAACAGAGAGTTGAGGTAAAGGAGACATTTTTAGGATGTCAACCTGTAATAAATGGAGTGCCAAAGTGATCAGTCCTGAGGCCACTATATTAATGACTTGGATGATGGAAGTGAATGTACTATTGTGAAGTTTATGGATGATACAATAATAGGTGGGAAGACAATTAATGGGAATGATACAAAGAATTTAGAGAGGGACACAGACAGGTTGAGTGACTGGCCAAAACCTGGCAGATGAAATATAATGTGGGAAAATATGACGTTGACCTGTTAAGGGAAGAACAGAAGAACTTCATATTATTCAAATAGAGAAAGACTGCATGAATCACAAAAAAACAAAAAAACTGCATCCAAGTTCAACGGGTAATAGAAAGGCAAATGGAATATTGGCCTTTATTTCAAAGGGAATAGAATCTAAAAACGTGGAGGTCTTGCTGAAACTGTTTAAGGCACTAGTCAGACCATAGCTAGAATATTGTGAACAGTTTGGTTCCCTTATCTAAGGAAAGATATATTGGCATTGGAGGCTGTCCAGGGAAAGGTCATTCATGTAATCCCTAGTTTGGAGGGATTTTCTTACAAAGAGATGTTAAATAGGTTGAACTTGTACTCATTGGAGTTTAGAAGAAGGAGAGACCTTATTAGAAACTTATAAGGTTCTTAGGGGGCTTGATAGGGTAGAAGCAAAGAGTTTGATTCCCCTTGTGCGAGAGTCTCAGACCAGAAGGTATAATTTTAGAGTAAGGGATCACTCATTTAACAGACAGATGAGGAGGAATGTCTTCTCTCAGAGAGTAGTGAATCTGTCGAATTTTTGTTACTGAAGAGGGCCCTAGAGGCTAGGTTGTGTTTGTTGAGTATTCAAGGCTGAGATAGACAGATTTTTAATCAGTGAGGGAATCAAGGGTTAGGGGGATGAGGCAGGAAAGTGGAGTTGAGGATTGTCAAATCAGCCATAATCTCATTAATTGGCAGAGCAGAGTTGATTGGGCTGAACGGCCTATGACAGATCCTACATTTTATGGTCTAAATGGACCAAGACTTTGAATCATGTCGAATTATAAAACCCAAAGTAAGTGTGCAATCGAAGTCAATAAAAATGAGAAAAAAATGCCCTGTTCTGTAATTCAGTAGTTGACCACAGTAGTTTTTTTGATTTAAGGTATTTTTTTTAAAAAGAAGGTAGGATTGGATGCTGAAGTTTGCTATTTTTTAATCCCTTGAATCTATTACATTACTTTATCTGTAGCTTAGATTTGATGCTTGTGCTATTGTTGTCCATGACAGGTAATTTATCTGGTCCACTGCTAGACTGTGTAAGTAACTGAGAGATATAATTTTGATGAATATCCCTTTTTTTTTTAATAATCCCTTTACTTGTTTTCTTGTTAAAAACAGATTTTCTTTAAATGCACCTAGCTTTTGGGGGAAGGGGTGTGCACACTTTGTTGATCTAGTTCCCCACTCACCACTGTCAGTTTTCTCTTATTTTTTGACAAAATGAAATTTGAAAACCTGGAAAATCATACTTTAAGTCTAGAATACAAACTGACTTTTTCCCTCCATGTGTATTAATCTTGTTTAAATCAATATTTAGCAGACATTAAATCTTGTCCCACGTGTTATTTAGTAATCATTTAAATATAATAATAGAATTTAAATTAATTTACAGTCTTGCTTTTCAACTAGATATATTTCACACAAAAGGACTTACCACATTTTATTAAAGAGCATTTACCACAGGAATGCTTCACACTTCTGGGCATAATGTTATACTTAGTGCCTTGATTCTAAATTTATCTGTGTCACACAGAAAGGAATAAGCTCATTGCCAGTAGGACACAGCTAACCACTCAAAACTAGGACAGTCCTCGTACTGTTATCTGCGATTGCTTGCATTGGGTCAAATTGCTGTAGCTATTACTTTATGAAGAAGCAAGGAACTGAAGAAAACACTGGAAATTTTATAAAGGTCTCCTGTTTGACCAGTGACAAATTATCTATTATACCTGTAAATTAGACTCAGGTCATACAATCATACAGAATGGAAACAGACCTTTCGATCCAACCAGTCCATGCTGACCGTGTTCCCAAACTAAACTAGTGCCACTTGCCTGCATTTGGCCCACATCCTTACAAATCATTCTTACTCATGTACTTATCCAAATGTCTTTTAAATGTTGTAACTGTACCTGCAACATCTCTGGCAGTTCATTCCACACATGATCCACTCTCTGCGTAAAAAAATTGCCCCTCATGCCCTTTTAAAACTTTCTCCTCTCACCTTAAAAATATGCCCCCTAGTTTTGAACTCCCCACCCTAGGGAAAAGATCTTGTTTTTCACTTTACCTATGCCCCTAATGCTTTTATAAACCTGTATAAGGTCACCCCTCAACCTCCTACATTCCAGTGAGAAAAGTCCCAGCCTATTTTTATAACTCAAACACTCCATTCGTGGTGATTTCCTAGTAAATCTTTTGTGAACCTTCTCCAGTTTAATAATATCCTTCCTGTGGCAGGACAACCAGAACTGCACACAGTAATCCAGAAAAGGCCTCACCAATGTCCTGTACAACCTCAATACAATGTCCCAATTCTAAAATCATAGGTCTGAGCAATGAAGGCAAGTGTGCTAAATGCCTTCTTAACCACCCTGTCTACCATGACGCAAATTTCAAAGAATTATGTACCTGAAATCCTCTGTTCTACAACACCACCCACATTTCAGGAATTATATGCTTTTCTGTTATTGCATCATTTCCCAGAGAAGAATATTAACTTCCCAAAGTGATAACAGAAGCCAAAACACATGACGTAATCTATTCTTGTAATTATGTAAACACTGAACCATCAGCATTTCATGTAGTTCAGACTTGTCTATTAATCTATTAATCTAAGTAACAAAAGTCATCCAAATCCTGAGGCCCAGGTCTATGAAAATATCTTTGTTCACTTCAAGATGCATCGTTTAAAATTCAAAACAATAGTTTGGTAAGCTTATTCCCAATAATGAACCCTGTGATTTCTTCTACATCCTTTGGCTACTATTAGTTTACAATCTAGAAATCATTTCAACTTACTTTGAACTCCACATTTTGCATTTTGTTTGGGCAGTTCAATCAGTGGGCAACTGGCTTGTTTTATTGTTCCCTGATACCAGAGATTACAGTCCAAAATGGAAATTCTATGATAATAGAAAAAACTTATTTCATAAGGATGGTGACTGTCAAACTGCAACTATCAAGTCAAAACATACAATACATTATGCTTTTAATTGCATTAGTATCTATTTTATTCTTCTGTACTAATCAAAAGTCACAGAGAATTTTAATGTAACTTAAAGAAAATAATGTTTGCTTGATCACGTAAAGGAGCAATGGCCTTGGATTTACATGCTGATATCAGTGACTGAAGAATATTTTCAGGGAATTTCACTGCATGTTGGTTTGCAGTACAGCCCTTTCATTTGTGGGATATTATTTTGAAAACACTCAAAACTGATGAGAAATATTCCTCTCTGGCCCTGTACAAAATAACCGCAACAGTTTTGACGCAGTTACTCGTTTTCATTTGTTCACAACACAAACTGGCTTATAATTCACCAGAAAGTGGTGTAAGGATATTAGAAAAAATTTAATTGATTTTATAAACATGATTTAATGACATTAAGATTACTATTCATGGAATCAATAGGAAATTAGCCAGCTCAAATTAAACCCGTTAATGTTGCAAAATGAAAATAGTGATAAAATTCAGAGTGAGAGGCGATAAGAAAAACAGTGACTAATGGAATTCTGTAGGATTTTCTTGTTGAATATCCTGCTCTACATAATCTTCATAAATGATAAGGTGGTAAGTATTCTGAGTAAGTTTCCTGATGACTATGAAAGTCAGCAATTTTGATCTTGGGCAAGAAAAATAATAGCTACATTTTCAAATGTAGATTGATGCATTGAAACTGAACATGTATAATTTTGTGCTGTAACAAACTCACATTTTCCACAAAGTCTACATTGAAGCATTGTAGGGAAAACTGTTTTCAGCCCTTGAGTTTTGATACTTTTTTGATACAGCAATTAGCTTATTTGTGGTAAAAGTGTTAATGCCATTCGAAATGTCTAGACTTTGGTGTGTTCGTCCAGGTTTTGCTACAGTCTGTGTTTGTCTCCTAGTGTCTGTTCAGTTTCTGCAGTTCTTTTATCAGTTACCTAGTATTTCTTTCCCTATCCCATTCCTACACAATTATCTCTGGCATTCCTCAAGAATCTACTGTATCTCTACCATATAATCCAGAAGAACATCAGTTTCCACATATACGTTAATGACACCCCCTCTACCTTAGCACCATCTCTTTCCCACTGCACTGTTTTTCAGTTGGCAGACTGCCATTATGGGACAGCAGCCATTACCTCTGGCGATTTTGTCAGAGGTTATGCACAAGACCCACAAGAAAAAGAAGAGCAGGGGGCTGACACTGCCTTCTAACTGAGGATTGCTTTTGAGACAGATCATCCACTACCAAATTTTAGAGCACTTTTACGCATGGCTTACTTTCCACAACTAAGAATCCATAAAGATCGAATCAGAGATAGTAGGAACTGCAGATGCTGGAGAATCCGAGACAACAAGGTGCAGGGCTGGATGAACACAGCAGGCCAAGCAGCATCATAGGAGCAGAGCCATAAAGACGTTCACCATCTGCACTCATTCCTTTCAACAGCCTTCTCAGGAACAATGCAATAAAAAGAACCAATAATTCCAACATCACTCAATTAACATAGTCCGTCTTTATACCTAAACCAGCAATAAAAACATTACACCAACAGACATGACTTGAAAAATTAAACTATTCACCCTGGTTCTTGCTCTTAAAGGCTATTCAGTAAATGTTCTTGGGTACGCTGGTGCTTTGTTGAAGTGCATCCTGGTGACAGTGAGGTGAATGACTGCAGAGATTATAAAGAGGGCATCCAGGATATCAGCCTGGGATGCCCTCAGCAGCCTGTGGGCTGTGATGGCTCCACTTTATTACTGCATTATCTCAGCCAGGGTTTGAGCAGTCTGGAATGCCTGACTGATGGGTGACAGTAAGGACAATAGAGTGTGACAGGGGCATGAGATAATTTCTACCAATGGAGGGCAGTTCTGTTCCCCTATATTTCTCATGTCATTTACATAGAGTTTGACCTCAGCCAGTCCATTAGTCTGCTGGAGAACAAATCACTTGATAACTGAGGCAATCTTCAAGCTCCTTTCATCGATAGGGGTTTTGACAACTGCCTAAACTTCCAATATATCACTTTGCAGTTCCATGGAAGATGTTGGTAACATCGTAGAAGCTGTTTGGGTTTCCCTTAAAGAACTTTACTTTTTCCACATAAGTTGTTGGGCAGCCCTTCCAAAGTTGTTTGGCATTACCTGATTGCTGCTCAATTGCAGTGGAAGCTGCAATCTTCTTCACCAGACATTGCATGAAACTACTGGGCTCCAGAGCTGGCTGGATAGAATTCGCTGGCCACCTTCTTGCTGAAGAGAAACATCAGAACAGGAAAAGGCCATTCATCCCTCAAGCCTGTTCCACCATGAGATAATAGCTGATCTGTGACTGAACTCCACATACTCATCTTTGCCTCATACTTTTGACATCATTGATGAACAAAAATCTATAAATCCCACTTTTTAACCTAAAAATTGATCTTAAGAGTTGCCATTTAAAGCAGAAAATTTCAAGCCTCTACAACCCTTTAGGTGACAAAACATTTCCTAATTTTGCTCTGGAGAAGTATGATACTAAACTCCTGATCCAGGGAAATAATTTCTTTCAATCTGCCCAATTTTGAAAACTTTGAATAGTTTACTCCTCAACTTTCTAAGTTCATATCATACAGCCTGAGTTTTCACAATCTGTCCTTTTAATTTAACACCTGTATTCCAGGTATCATTCCAGATAAACAACATTTTGTTTCCTCCAAGGTCAGTATATTCATCCTAAGGCAGGGTGCCTAGATAGTAGTCCAGGTATGATCTGACTAGAGATTTGTGCAGTTGAACTATGACCTCCAACCCTTTCCATTCTAAACCTCTGGTATAAAAAGGCCAGCATTCCAATAGCCTTTTTGATTATTTTCTGTACTTTTCAGAATATGGACAAAAGATTGAGCCCCAGAGGTGGGGTGAGATTGTCTGCCCTTGACATCAAAGTTGCATTTGATGGAGTATGATATCAAGGAGCCCTAGCAAAACTTGACCAACAAGAATCAGAAGTATAATCTTCATTGGCTGGAGTCATACCTAGTACAAAGGAGGAAAATTGTGTTTGTTGGGGATCAATTATCTCCGTCCCAAGTCATTATTGCAGAATAATGTCCTCGGCCTGCCTCATCTTCAACTACTTCATTAATGACCTTCCCTCTATCATGAAGTCCAAAAGGGGAGTTCTCTGATAGTGTCAAAGTGTTCAACATCATTCACAATTCCTCAGACAGTGAAGCAGTCCATGTCTATATGCAACAAAACCTGAGCAACATGCCGGCTTGGGCTGATAATTGACAAGTAACATTTACACCTAACAATGCATCTCCAACTAGAGAGAATCTTATGATTTCCCCTTGACATTCAATAGGCAGGCTCCCTCCACCCCGACCGTGGGACTGCTCATGGATGTCCTAGGACAAAAATAGAAGAACAACCTTCTGATGGCACACAGGAGGGCATGGGTGACAATTAATTGTAAAACATTATTACATTTATAAATATATGTTCATTTTTCATCATCAGCTGTATGAGTGACTGTCACTTTACCTTACAAGAATGAAAGTAGAGAGATTAGCCTCTTTAAAAGTTTTAAGGCCTCTTTGAATGATGATCTAACCCTGTCTGAACAATAGCTATCCTTTCCATAGTGTCCATACTGGCATGAAACTTTGCCAGGACTGAATAAGGGAGAATTGGATATTGTGAAGGTTTCCATCCATTTGTAACCTTAACTTTTATGAAACAACAAGAAAAGCAATGAAAGATCAAATCATGAAGCTTCATTTGCCGTTGGAATTGAAGAGGGAATTTCTGGTCTTAGCAGGAAAAAATAATTACAGTCGTGAAAGATGACTTGCATAACTCAGTTCCATTCAATGAGATTTACAAAGAACACCTCAGAGCAGGATAAATAACACACTGGGACAATAACAAAGCTTATGGGAGACCTCTACATGGACCTTGCACATCATTGTCTTCATTCAGACATATTCTGCTGAAACCTTTTGACACGTACATTAAAGGATTCGCAGAAATCATGAGAACGTCCTCCCTCAGCCCCAAACCCCAATATCCAAGAAAGTTAGCATACAGGATAAGGTTGTGGACACTTTATAGTTCAAAGTGTGAAGTTAGCAGCTCCTGCACCTTGTGAAGGTAATGAGCCCATAGAAAAAGATTGTGATTTTGGCAGCCATACAACCATAAAGTATAGGAGCAGAATTAGGTCACTTGGCCTATTGACTCTGCTCTGCCCGTTGATCATGGCTGATATGTTTCTCAATGCATTCTCCCGACTTCTCCTGTAACCCTTCATCCCCTTAATAATGAAGAATCTATCTATCTCAGTATTAAATACACTCAATGACCTGGCCTCCACAGCCTTCTGCAGCAATGAGTTCCACAAATTAACTACCCTCTAGCTGAAGAAATTCTTCCTCATCTCCATTGTAAAGGATTGCACCTTCACTCTGAGGCTGTGCTGTTGCGTTCTGGTCGCTCCTACTAGTGGAAACTCTATCCAGGCCTATCAGTCTTCTGTAAGTTTCAATCAGATCCCCCTTCATCCTTCTAAACTCCATCATTGTCAGAACCAGAGGGCTCAACCGCTGCTCATATGACAAGCCCTTCATCCGCGGGATCGTTCTTGTTATCCTCCTCTTGAACCCCCTAAGGCCAGCACATCCATTCTTAGAAACAGGGCCTAATACTGCTCACAGTATTCCAAATGTGGTCTGCAGCCTCAGCAGTAAATCTCTGTTCATTTATTCCAGTCCTCTTGAAATTAATGCTAACGTCGCATTTGCCTTCTTAACAGCCAACTGAACCTGCATGTTAACCTTCAGAGAATACTGAACGAGGACTCCCAGGTCCCTTTGTGCTTCAGATTTCCAAAGCCTTTCCCTGTTTAGAAAATTGTCTATGCCTCTATTCTTCCTATCAAAGTGCATAACCTCAAAGTGAACTGTTACAGTCTGCATGACATTATTTGTGCATCACAGCCATTAGTAGGATTAATTTGTAATGTTGAACAATGTGGTCAAAATTGCTTGTGGCCAGAACTTTTAATTGACACAGC